TCCTGATGATACTGGAAACCACACAAACAGATTATACTCCTTGAATGTGTTTTATGGTATTTAGGCAACTCCACACAAACAGATTATACTTCTTGAATGTGCTTGTTCCTGTCCTTTCCTTCCAGTATCATCAGGACTTTTATGGTATTTAGGGCACATTCAAGAAGAACAACATAATCTCTCTTTGTCATTGACTCTAAGCAACAGTGGCAACACCTGATACACATTGTTGCATCTCAGGAGAGCTATATAAGAAGTTGACTCTTGACAAATACGACAAGGTGTTTGATCTCTATAAGTTGTAGACTCTTGACAAATACAATGTGTTTAATCTGTGGCAGATTGTTGTTGCGCATCTGATAAGGACCCAACTGCCAGTCCCTAAGAGATGTTCCTCAGTATACGACTTGGCTAATGATTAACTCGCTAGAATAATCGTGTGAAAGGACGATGAAGTCAGCCAATATCGCAGGAAACGTATATCAACTTTCCTTACTCAATTTTCTCCTGCAGTTCATTTGATTGGGATATTTCTGTGCAAGTATCTTCTTGTGTGTGTTGACCAGAGCAATCCTTATGGAATATCCAGTGTGATGGAGTTTGTAAGTTAGGCTACGCAGCTGAAACAGTCCACCTACCCTAATATTAAACTTAGTGTTGCACGTGTAACACATACCTCACCAGTTTCACACACAATTTGCACAGTCAAACGCTTAGGAGGACAAATCTCCTCACAACATAGGGTTGAAACTTGCCTGCACAGTGTGCCATTCTAGAGGAAGTCATAACGTTTCTCTTATATGTGCTGAGTTAAAGCACAATGTTGGACTACACTACCATCAACATGACTTTTTACATTGTTTAACTCTTTTGGAATGACCCACAATAATTAAAAACACATTTCTGTTCATTTTTATTGTTTTGTGATGTGGTGGACTGTTTTAGGCCTTAATGATACTCATCCTTTGGATTTTTGATTCCTAAATAAACTGCACTCGTGGTGCTTGGACTTTATAGCTGTGCCAAGTTTATAAACATATGTTTAACGATGAATGCTGTTTATGGTAACCTTGGTCTAATTGCACTTATTAAGAAACATGCTTTTAATTGTGCGTGAGTTGTATGACGACCTTAGTGAATTTTCACTTGTAGTAATGGGCTTTTTGGTGTTATTAAATTCGTAAATATGTTTTAGTAATACATGAGCAGTTTGCTTACCTTAAGACTTTTAGTTATAGTATTAGTTTTAGAGGATAGTAAGTCAATAAACGTGTTTTTTTACCATACAAGAGTTATATGATTATCTTGAAGGAGCTACATAGTGGCCAAGTTAATAATTGAGTTTTTAAGTGGTTCATGAGCTCTATGGTAGCTGTAAGAAATATGTTGCGACGAGAAATGAATTATATAATGATTCTTATTATATTACTTCAATCAATATCATCAACGATTAATTTCAACAAAAATATTATATCCTGTCCAAGTAATCACATATTATATGAATTATCCATCCTATTGTAACTTGATCGCTAATATATTTAGAGTGTGTTAAAAATATAAAGAACATTACTTTTAGTAGCTCTCAATAAACATTCATTATTCAAATTCGATGACGAGGAACCAACTTTGAGACTAATAATGCTTGGAGACGGCTTGAATGGGTAATGAAGAAAAAATTTAATATAAGTTTAACATAACAGCAAATGTACATTACTCATTCAAGCCGTCTTTAAGCATTATTAAACATTCATTATGTTATGACATTCCTTAGAGATATACTGATACATCCTCATGGCCGTGGCCACGTTTCAACTTAAGATTTTCGTCATTTTCATGCTGTAGGACTGGGACTTTCCACACTTTGTATGTGATCTGGACATAAAGCTTCCTGGTATGCACGTGGCTTCCTTTAAGTACAGGATGTTTCAAAAGTATGTTAGTATTCCGGATGTAGTCTTTCATATTACAGGTATGTGTAGGGTTAGCATAATATGCAGGAAATAAGTTTCTATACGTTAAGGCTGAAAGAAATTATAGGAAGCCTTAATGTTATTTTTCCCTAAAGGTTTCACCAGTTATGAGTTGTGTATTCAAGGTTTCCTATCTTGAATACACAACTTATAACTTCACATTTTCTTATAGAAAAAAAGGAAATGAGACGAATACTAGGTACTAGTAATATTTACTGGGATGAACCAGTATTGAACTTTGGTTGACTATTTAGGCTTAAAAGACCAAACAAACTAAATATATATATCTTAAACAGGAGTTCATCGTACGTGTTTTTATGAGCATTATTATATAACAGAGAATGTGTGAATTGTTCCCGGCAGCTCTGCAATAAGCTTCTGACGTTAGAATTCGGGGCCCAATCCCCCACGAAGAACACAACGCGGATAGCCCATTTTGCAGCTTTGCACTAAAGCAAGCAGTGTGCATTTTAATTATTATTAATGTTATTAGTTTAAAATCTAAACTTGTTTCATATATATTAATATATTTGTTAAGATATTGATAAATATTTCAATCATTAACTTCAAAGCCAAATAATAAACTACCATGATTGTTTCATGTAAAAGCAGGTAATCTTACTTATCATTTATGTTAAATAACTGCAACTATTTACAAGTAGTTCAACTAGATGGTTATTGTTTTAACGTAATATATTTAATTCTTTGAAAATTTCTAAATTTCCTAAAGAAAGTATCAGACAATTAATTTTATAATATACATTACTATGCAAAAGTGTTAGGACAAAGTCAAAAATTATATTTCAGGCTACTTTCAAAGAACAATGTAAGGTAAATCACAGGTGAAACATCAAAATTGTATTAATATTCATATTTAGTACAATAGAAACTCATTGGAAGTGCTTGAGTTCAGCAAACAGTTAATATTTTGTGTGTACAACTTTTGCTTTAACAACTGCAGACAGTCTTTCAGGCATTGTTGCAACATATTTTATCAAAGTGTCCTTTGGGAATTTGCTCCAAATGTCTCTAATACACTCCCATCAAGTTTCTTTGGGAGGAACTTTTGATTTGTCAAGTTTTTAGTCTATCAAATCCCAGGTCTACTCAATTGGGTTAAAATCGGGGCTCTGTGGGGGCTATTTCATCATTTGAATTACTCCAGCAGCTTTTTTTCTTAGCTAAGTAATTTCTACATAGATTGAATATGTGTTTGGGTTCATTATCTTCTTGGTATTAGAATCCTTTACCAATAATACACAAACCACTGGATATACCATGATGGATCAGTATCTGATGGTACTTGCACTGGTCAATTATTCCATCCATTTTGTAAATATCTGTTGTCGCCTCAGAAGAAAAACCCCACCAATCCATCACACGGCCTCCCCCATGCTTCATGGTAGGTGCTA